AGGGCAGTGTCACTGGCCCTCATATGTGGGATCCAAACCGGGGCCCTCTGGCGTCCCAAGCCAGTTCTTAACCATCGTGCCACTCGGCCGGCCCTAAGGGCTTTCTTATAATTGATAATCACATAATAAATTTAAAAATCACATCTAATTGCTAAATGCCAGAACAAATAAAAGAATTTGGCTAAATTGTAACAAATTTTGTCAAGACAGTAAATTGGTTTACTTATTTATTATATGCCTCCCCCCAATAAAATGTACTCTCTGAAGGAAGAGATCTTGTCTGTTTTGTATATTGCTACATCCCTCACACCAAAAACTGGCATTTAGTGTGACAGTGAATGAATGAATGAATAAATGATGAATGAAGGATATTTCTGTAGGAATACCAGTCAGCAATACTGATGTCTAGGTGATAATTGTGGGGAGGTTGTTCTTTTAAATGACCACGGTCAATATAGCTTCCTGTAGGTACCCAGGAAAGACTTATATGGACTAAAATATATAATATAAAAATGTTGCTATCTTTTTAACAGACCCTAAATTTGTGAATTATGAAAATTAAACATCTTGAGTTTTTCCTGACAAAAATTTTCCTTATTAAATAACTCAGATACCAGTCACTTGAAATCCTTATCTAATACTTATAAAAATTATGTTTTAAAAGTAAAAATCTCTTTCTATTTTACTGCAACCTTTTTATGTATCTTACATTATAAGAAAGTAGTTTCTAAATATTATAAAAACACATGATTCAATGATAAATAACTCATTTTCCTGGATGGAAATATCTCCCATTTCAATAAAATATTATAAATTTACCTTTCTGCAGTAGTGGGTTCTTCAGAAAATTCAGTATCTGCTGAACTCCTCCTACTATTATTTGACCTCCAAGATGATGCCAAAGGAAGTTCTTCTGAAGACATAGGCCTTGGCCTTTGGCCAATCCCAGATGGTTGCTGTAAACCTGCAGACTGTTCTTCAGTGCTTAAAACAGCTATAATTGCTCTAATGGTAGCTTCATCAACCTGAGACCAAGGTTTAGATGGAGCCCTCATGCGGCGCAAAAATAAGCTGTGCCACTTCTGTCTGAGCTGCAGCAATAAACTGGCTGCCTGTAAAAAAATTGGTTTCTTCAGTTCAAATAGATACATGAAAAACGTATATCACACTTGCAAGACACCTATTTGTTTATTAGTTAAGGTCTGCAACTGTTTCCAAAGAACAAGTTTTACATTTCATATAATTTACTATTAATTCCATTATTTTTGTTGCATGAACGAAATAAAATTTCTTATTTACCCTATCTGAGGCACTAGAGACACAAAATCAAAAGAAACAGTTTAATGAGAGAGACAGTCAACAATGTGTGGTGGAGTGTGATTAATATGGAAAAACAACAGCAGGATAAATTAAGAAAAATAGATTTAGTTCCATTCATCTTTATCTTAGTGCTTGTAGAACATCCATATCATGATGTCCAGAAGGCAGCTGGATTCATAGGTCCAGAGAAAGGCCTAAGCTAGATATAGATAGACTTGGGAGTTATCAATGCATAAATGGTTACTAAATCTACATGTAGATGTACAGTCACTAGGAATTGTGCAGAGACAGCAAGAAGAGCAGAGTAAAGGAAGACTGGAGAACTGGCAAACATCTAACATTTTAGGCAGAAACACATACAGAAGAGTCAGTGAAAGAACCTAAGTAGGAATGACCTCTCCAGAAAGTAGAAGAATCAGGAAAGATAAATGTCACAGTAACTGGTGACAAAAAAATTGGGGTAGGGGTGAGGAGGAAAAATGGGGAAGGACAGAATTACAAAAAAAAAGGGAATGGACAACAGTACCAAAAACAAGAGAAAGGCCAGATTTGTCAAGGGCAGCAGGCTGGCTTGACAACATGGAGAACAATGTTGGCCTTGGCAAGTACAATTTCAACGAAGTGAAAGGCCAGTGGAAATGAAAGTGAAATTATAGTAGGTTGAAGTGATGAATGAATGAATGGTAAAAAAGTAAATCTAGCCAGTGTTGACCATTCACAGCTTAGCTGCCAATAAAATGATCTTTAAAAGTAGAGATGGAATTAAGGGAAGACTTTGTCAAGAAAATTTTTAATTTGAAAAGAAACATTCATCTTTCCCAAGTCAGAGATACATGAAAAGAGAAAACAGAATGAACTCACATCTTTCCCTTCGAAACAGTTATACAAAATAAAGGGAGTTCTTGTGTACCCAATACTCAATACTCGTATTTTCTTATATACACATAAATACTCAAATATAACAATGCTGAAATACTGCCCCACACCTAGTTTTTCAAATCTTCTATTCAAATAAACCCCAATACAGCAGAGAATGTATTAGGGACCTATGAAAACTGAAAAACAAGCTATATTTTCTAATACTAAGAGCTCAATATTAAAGATATAAATTTACCATATTGTATATCAATTCATACCAACTAAATGAAAGAAATTTATCACATTACTAAACAGCAACTTACCTCAGGCTCTAGTTTGAAATTGAGCCACTCATCAAGTTTCAAAGTTGCCAAACTAGCAGTAGTTCTATCTTCCATTTCACTATCACTACTGTCATTAGGAATGCCATCCACTGTTCAAACAAATATTGAAAGAAAAAAAATTGCACTTTTACCATCTTATAGCAAAAAAAGTAAGTAAATGCAGATACTTCATATTTACACAAATCCTCCTGATATACCAACAATTTGTATGGGAGTTCTCCAAACACAACAGGTCACAAATTTAATCTCAATATTTAAAAGGAAGAGGGGGAAAGACATTGTAAAGACTATAATCTCTAATCACAATGCATCATAACAAAACCAAAAAAAGACAAGAAATTTAAAAATCAAAACACAATCTTTAAATAATAACTAGATGAAGAAAACTAAGAACAAATTAAAGAAATAAAAACACTAAAAATAGTAGGAAAAAAACTGATACATTAGAAAAGACAAAACGGGATTAATAGTTAAAACTATAATCCAATTCCTTGAAAAGACTAATAGGGAGCTCTCTGGTAAATTCAACAAAGGGACAAGAAAGCGCAAATCTATCTACAAAATCAGAACTAAGAATAAGATTATAAAAATAAATATAAAATGGTTTAAGCTAAAAACATATACTATGCATAATTATAGAATAATCAATTTGAAACCTTCAAAGAAATGTATTTGTTTCTATAAAACAAACTGAAAGAACAAGTAATTACTAAAATTGAAAGAACAATAAATAGAAAAATTCAGACTATTTAAGAAATTAAAGCTGTCCTTAAAGAACAACAAAGAATTCCAGAACACCAAGTCTTTCAAACTTTCAAGGAATCAAGTAATGACCAACTCCATTAATTGAGACAAATCTGAACCGAACTCTAAAACCTAATAAAACCTAAAACCCAAAAGATACCTAAATGTGCACATGCATACACCACACAAATCCTATAGGTCAGCCTCCGTATGAACATAAAGTTAAGAATTTTAAATAAAATGCTAGCAAAATATTCAGCATTGCAATAAATTCTCCTTAGTCCAAGGAAGGTTTGTTTTGGAAAAAAATGATAATTCCATAAGAAAACATATCCACCACGTCAATAGGTTAACCAAATTCTGATTATATAAACAAACATTCAAAAGCTATTTAATAAATTCAACACATTTTAAAAATATTAAAAGCAGTACAACTCTTCCTTAATTTAATAAAATACTTTTATTAAAACAAAAATTAACATTATAATCAATGGTACTCTTTTCTATTTACACATTCACTTTAGGACACCCATTCTCATGTCTTTAATATTATCTACAAATTGATGATTTCCAAATTTGCATTGTTAGCCCAGGCTTCTTCCCTGAGCTCTAGATATGTAAATCCAACTGCCTCCAGAAAAAAAAAATCTCACTTAAGATGACTTAGCTGTCTCAAGCTTAACATGTCTAAAACGACTCTTGAGTTCTGCCCTCCACAACCTGCTCCTCCTAGTTTCCTCAATCTCAAGTAAGTGTAATCAATATTCAGCAAGCTACCATAGCCCAACCTGAGAGCTAATGACATGCCTTTCACTCATCACCCACACTCAATCCAGCAGTCACTAGTACTACCTCCAAAATAAATTTGAGTCTACGTCTCTTCCTATCAACTGCCACCACTGTAGTTCTGAGCCATCATTATTTATCATAAGACCACTGTAAAACCTCCAACCTGCTTCCTCCCTTCCATTCTTGCATCTTCTCACAGCAATCCATTCTCACAGTCAAAACGATCTTTTTGAACATAAATCACATCATGTCACTCCCTTACCTAAAAGGCTTCAGTGTTTCCCCTTATATTTACCATGCCTTACAAGCCCATGCCTTTCTTTCAACCTTATTCCACACTACTCTCGCCTTGATCATTGTGCTTCCAATTACATAACCTTTCTGTCAGTTCCTAGGTCATTCCCTAGTGCAGAATCTTGGCCCTTGACATCTTCTTCTACCTAGAGCTTATTTAAGTATCTTCACATGGCTGGCTTCTTCTCATACTGTAGGTCTCAGCTTAAATCACATCTCCCCAGAGAAACTTGTGTAGGGTCCCTTTCTAAAGTAGGTCAACGTTAAGGCAGCATTCTTTATTTCCTTCATAGTACCATGTAGGTAGCTTACTTTTTGCCATCTGTGTACCTCCCCACTACGAAGTAAACTCCTAAAGACTGAAACACCTTGTCTATCCTGTTTCCTGTTATGACCTCAATGCCTAGCACAACACCTGACACATAGTAGTTGCAGAATAAATATTTGCTGAGTCATCAAATAGCAAAAAAACTGGAAACAATCAAGATGTCCAACTGTAAAGAAACATTTTAAATGTATTATGCTACATTAATGTGGCAGAATATTTTACAGCCATTAACATAAAATATTAAAAATGTTTTTATGTTCTCTATAATGAAAATAGTAGAATATAAAACAATAGTATGAGCAAAATAATTTAAAATATTACACATATAGAAAAATATATAATATTAAACAATGTTTGCATAAGGGTAGTAAGATTATGGATGGTTATTATTATTATTATTTCCTTTAAACAATTACATTTATGTTAAACTATTATTAAATTCAGTGGAGGAGAAAAACAAAATTTCCTATCAGCAAGGTTAATCAAAAATGCACAAATCAATATCAAGTTACCTTAGAAATTAATTTCAAGAACAGTGGTATGCTTTAGTGTTTTCTAATTAGCCTTAATATATCAAAAGGGAGTTACTATTACATAAATTCCTGTAATTTCAAAATTTGGTTTAATAAAATGAAATATTTCATTTCAAATAGATTTTTATTTCCTTCCTAATACATTTACCTCGAAAGGATGAAGGTTCCTGAAGAGCATTACTTGCCAACCTAGCTGGTCCACAGAACACCAGTACAGTGACAGGTGTCACTGCCGAACAACATCTGATGTTAGCTATTCTATGGGCTCTGGTCATTTCATCATAAATAAGCCAATCTGTGGGCAATGCCTGAATTGCTGCAGCCTGACCATTGGCTGGAGGAATCTATTAGGAAAATAAATTTAAAAATTGTTAACTGTATTTATCACCTAATTTACTGACAACACTTTTAAAATGTAAAAAGTCCCTCAAAGAAATAGATAATGTACACCCAAGCACAAAGTAAAGCAAGTCATTGCTCATGCAGTTTGTACAAAATCCTCATTACTTAACACATTACCTTTTCCAACTCTAAGATTCAATCAAAATTTTGTTCCAATACTGAATTATACAAATATAACTAATTAATTTCTTAAAGCAGGTCAGTATTTGGAGTATTTTTTCAACCATCTAAATTAGTTTCACCTCAAGGACTAAGAGCATTAGAAATGTATTTTACCTTTTTATATTGAGGCTGACTGAGAACTGAAGTGGGATGGAACCGTACTTTTTTCTCCTTTGGTCCTGTCAATACTACATTCTCTCTGTCCACATGGACTAAATTAGGATACATGCCTGCCACCAATGCAGCTTTAACGACAGCCCAATTCTCGGAATTTGTGTTAACATCTCGAATGTCGCCACCACCTCGTGCTCTAACAAAACCTAGAAAGAGGGGAAAAAAAAAAAACCACACCAACTTTTTCTATTGTTCAAAATATACTTATAAATTTGTGTGTTTTTTTACAAAAAAATAGTATAACCTATGTAAGTTTAATGATATTCAAATTTCAGAATAATTAACAAAATCTCATTTGGAAAGTTTAAAATACAGAATCAATGTTCTAAGAAAGTTTAGGTTTGTTCAGGCTAAAGAAAGTAGAGGATTCATTGGGGACTTAGAAACTTTTAAAAAATACATATTCTTGCAATAAAGTTCTTCATAAGCTGCTATCAGAAACACAATAAAATCATAGCTGAAAACCCAAATCATTCTTGTGACAAGCATTAATAACATTTTGGTTATGATAGACAATAATTCTAGAGGTGAAATCGAGTAAATACAGAGTATTCTTGCTTGAATTTCAAAAGTCCCCATATTTGAGAAAACTCTAAATCCTCTGGTTCATTTCTTATATTACTTTGGCACTTCAGCTAATTCAGGCTCTGGTAATTTTCTAGCTATTTCTTCAATGTACTACGCTACACAAAAAGAAATTCAAAGAAGCATTCTAGAATAAAATAGCAACACTGGCATTCTCTGAAAAAGAAAAATCAAAGTGCCTTCATGCAATTACTTGTTTTATGTTCCAAAAATATGAAGACCAGCATTCATATCAATCTACTTAAATTTTTATAATTTTTATTTCATAGAGCTAAATAATTATTTAATAGTGATAAAATATAACTATAATATTTAAATTGATCTTTGCCAACAAATACATTATAAATTGCTCATTGCCAACAGTATCAAAAGGTATTCATACAGGGCTTGCCAAGTGGCACGTCGGTTAACAGCTGGCTTGGGACGCCAACTCTGAGCAGCAGCACCCCAGTTCGGATCCCACATGAGGGACAGTGACACTGCCCTCTACAGCTAAGATGGTGAACAACAGCTCAACCTGGAGCTGGGCTGCCATGAGTCGCCATCAACAGCGTAGGCTGCAGCCCCTGCAGCAGTGGGCTGCCATAAGCTACTGTGTGTGGCCGGCAGCCAGTGTGAGCTGCCAAGAGCCACCATGAGAGGCAGTCAACTGATCTGCATCACCCGGGAAGAGCACAATGATAATACCAACACAGGCCAGTGAAGCAATGTCCTCCACAACTAGACTGAAGAACAAAAGAACAGCAACTTGTCTGTTCCCCTTCCCCCGATTCCCCAGTGCTGTTCCCCTCCCCCAAACCCCAATAAAATCTTAAGGAAAAAGAAAAAAAAAAGTTATTCATACATTTTTCTGCTACAGCTTCTGCAATATCATATTTTTTTAATCAACAAACGAAAGTTGAGGTCACACAGAAATCTACAAAGCAGTTCATAAATAGAAGATATACAACAATGTGATAATGCCATAAAAATAATTACAAGATGGCATGAGTTAACACTACAAAGACTATGAGGTATGGGCAGGGTACTCTCAGTGGTTTAAATAGATTCTTTGGGAGAAAACTTTACCTGATGCTCTAAGTTGACCAAGCAGCTGAGTTCTCATGCCTATGATTATTTCCATGGTAGCTTGTGAAAGAAAATTCTTTTCACAAAAGGCTCGCTCCCATCCATCACTTCGTGCTTTCTGCCATGCCTATAAAAATATAATTATATAACATGATACATTTACCAATCACTTCTTAGGTAGCAAAGTAACTGAAAAGAACTACATTAGCCACTCAAGGTCAATTCTCCTTCTAATTATTTTATAAGATCTAAGACTTTATTAAAAAAAAAACAAAAACAACTTATAGATATAGAGAACAAATTGGGGGTTGCCAGTAGTGGGCAGGAGGGGTAAAGGTGGTCAAAAGACACAAAGTTCCACTTATAAAATAAGTTTAAGTCCTGGGGATTAAGTTGCAGTGTGATGGTGACTATAGTTAATAACACTGTGCTGTACATTTAGAAGTTGCTAAGAGAATAGGTTTTTCTAAATAAAATATTTTTTTCTTTTTAAAGATTTTATTGGGGAATTGAGACAGGGGAACAGCATTGGGGAATCTGGGAAGGGGAACAGACAAGTTGCTGTCCTTTTTGTTCTTCAGTCTAGTTGTGGAGGACGTTGCTTCACTGGCCCATGTTAGTATTATCATTGCACTCTTCCGGGGTGAGGCAGTCGCTTGCTGCCCATTGGATAGCCACTCACGGCGACTCACTCATGGCAGCCCAGCTCCAGGTCAAGCTGGTATTCACCATCTTAGCTGTAGAGGGCGCAGAGTCACTGGCCTGCATGTGGGATCCAAACCGGGGCCCAGCTGCTCAGAGCTGGTATCGCAAGCCAACTCTTAACCAACCCGCCACTCGGCTGGCACTAAATAAAATTTTTTATTTGAGATATAATTGACATACAACTTTATATTAGTTTCAGGTACAACATAGTGATTCAATATTTGTATATATTGTGACATGATCTCTGCAATAAGTGTAGTTAACAGACTAGGGAGTAGATCTTATAAGTTCTCATCACAAGAGAAAAATAATTGTAACTATGTGTGATGATAGATGTTAACTAGACTTACTGTGGTGATCATTCTGCAATATATACAAATATTGTATCACTATGTTGTACACATTAAATTTATGTCAATTATACCTCAAGTTTTAAAAAATAACTTAAAAATTAAACATAAAAAATAAAATCTAAACTTTATGACTAAAATTTATCATTAGTTAATTTATACTCAATTGCTATGAAAGCCAATGAGTTTATAAAATCCCAATGAAAACTAAGTATCAGCTAACCTAAATGACCAGCTATGCAAAAATATTTACCTTTCGGATACATCTGCTAATTTTCTTCCACCAAAGTATGGAGGCTTTTAAACTAAGTCATCATAATATCATTTATATCTAAGAACCATGCCACTCTATTTCTCCAAAAATAACCTCTGCATCAGCCTCCTAATCGGTCTGAGAATGGAAAGTGGGATTTCTATAAACCATCAATGTGCAGTATTAAAAAGCTCCTCTTTGAAAATGAGTTCTCTGCCGGCTAAGTGGCTCATTAGTTAAGAGTTGGCTTGGGAGTGTGAGCTCTGAGCAGCAGGTCCACTAACTCAGATCCTACATGGGCCAGTGATGCTGCGCCCTCTACAGCTAAGATGGTAAACAACAGCCCGACCTGGAGCTGGGCTGCTGTGAGTTGCTGGCGACGGCGTAGGCTGCAGTGGGGCTGCAGTGGGCTGCCGTGAGCTACCTGAGTGACCGGCAGCCAGCATGAGTGGCTGGCAGCTGGCATGAGCTGCCATGATCGGCAGTCCAATGGCCGGTGACCGAATGCCTCACCAGGGAAGAGCACAATGATCATAATACCAACATGGGCCAGTGAAGTCCTCCACATTTTGTTCTCCTTTTGAAGAACAAAAGGACAGCAACTTGTCTGTTCCCCTTCCCTGATTCCCCAGTGCTGTTCCCCTCCCCCAATTCCCCAACAAAATCTTTAAAAAAAAAACAAACATCCAGAATGAATCAGGTCGAATTGTATAATAAATTTCATTTTGAAAAAAAAAAAAGAAAATGAGTTATCTTGCTTTGAAAGACCAAAGCAGTCATTTATTCTCTCTGCTTTTGAAGGAGCTAGAGAAAAAGCAGAGAAGACAGCAATTCTTCAAATTTCCCTCTAAGTGTTATCAGTCAACTGAACTCTAATACATGGTATCTAACAGACACAGCTAATTGCAATGCACCATCCCTTGTTCAATAATGCTCATAAAAGAGTTTGCAATTATGTTTTTAAATTGTATGTACTGTAAAAATTTTGTATGCCTGGAAAAGAATACTTTATACATATACAAAATGAAAATTATTAAAAATGTACAGGCAGAGCCTACACTCAAGAGAATTCAAGGATAAATAACATGTCTACCTTTTAAAAAAAATAACATATTCCTCCCTACATAACTAAATTTGTAAATTATATATAATTTCCCTTATTCAGAGTCCCACTTTCCTTCTTTTCTTTCCCATTTAGCACTTTCCTCAATTTCTCACCTCTATTAATAGGTTTTAAATGATTTTTGGATTTTACTTTATAATAGTAAGTTCTTAGTATAGTGTCTTAAGCATATAAGAAAAAGATGTACTCCAAAATATCAATAGATATTAAATTAAATTCAAGATTATTCTTTTCCAAGTTTTGTTCTATATACTTTGAATAACATACAGTGTTTCTTAACTGAAATTTTAGAGCATTGCTTGCTCAAGCTATGATTGTAAGATAAGGAACTTGGATATTAAAAATAAATACAAATATAAATAAAGTAGATACATACATACATACAATATATGTATTCCTACAAGGGGAAAAAAAATAAGAGAAAAACTGTGAAATTTTAACATATTAACAGTAGGAAGTTTGTTTTTCTGGGCTATTAATAAAATGTGACTTTATAATGAAAGAAAATTAATAGAATCATATCTATTTGTTTAATTTGTTATGCTTATCCCAGAAATGTGTTTAACCAGCAGCATTTTCAGAAATAAAATAATAGTACCTGGAATGCTCTGAGAAGTGCCATATGATCACTGAAAGTTCCTGCAGTGAAACGTTTCCTACAAAGCATAGCTGCACGTTTTTGAGAGGCCTGGGTTGGCAGGACAAACGGATCCCGATAGGCTAGTGTGCAGGCAATTGTAAGAATGGGGTCCAAGCACTTTAAAACAACAGCACATAGGACCATTTTACCAAGATGTGGTTCTACTGGCAAGTCAGCCAAATGATATCCCAGTTCAGTGAGATCTTCCCATGCATCCATTGCATCTATTGTCTAAATAAAAGGATACAAAATAGAATTTGACATGACCAAAAACTATGTTTAATCAAACCACATACTTAAAAAAAAACTGTAAGAAAGAAATAAGAATATAAATTTTCTTTTGGTATCACATCTCAAAAAATACATGTTTTGCTTCAAATACATAAAAAAGAACTATATCTACTATTTTACTATAACTACCAAAACAGTATGATTCAAAGTACATGATTATTTAGGATAATTTTTTAAAGTACAAAATTAGTTAAGATATATTTTCATTTGGTTTAAATTTCAAGTAAAATAGTCATATAAAATAAAATTATTAATACACCAACCTTAAGCATTTGTACAGCATTTCTTACAATTAAAGCTGGTGGAGGTTCAGGAGCTTTCATAAGGAAATCAGCAATAGAACAATTAACTGGGGCTAACAGCTTGGTATGTAAACAAAGTTCCTGTAAATAAGAATAGCAAATAATTTTGAAATACTGAAATTTAGGTAGGTTTACTTTTAATTCTTTTGATGAACCTCTATACCATTTTCCATTGGTAGTTACAAAATAGTCAGGGGGATTTAAAGTACAGCACAGGGAATATAGTCAGCAATATTGTAATAACGATGTATGGTGCCAGGTGGATACTAGACTCATTAGGGGACCACTTCATAAATTACATAACTGTCAAACCACTATGCTGTATACTTGAAACTAATATAAAATAATACTGAATGTCAACTGAAATTGAAAAATAAAAAATAATATATTACATAAAATATTGAAATTTAGAATCAATTTTTATTTTTAAAGAAATCACGGAAACTATAGTCCCCAAACAAAAACTAAGAGTCTCTGACTAAAATGAACAATAGAGGGAACAATGTCTTTCTGTGAAAGATGGGCTCATACTTTGCCCTAGATGCCAAAACTTTTATAAACACTCTCCATCAACTCATATCAAGATTATCATTGCCACCACTGGCAATGTCTCCTCACATAGTTCTTATACATAACAATAAGAGATACTATCCAAAAAATCTTTTTTCTTTATATTACATTCTGTAACCTTTTATCCATTCAACAAATATTTAAGTGCTTACTAGGTGCTAGGCACTATGCAGCAAGTTGGAGAAAAAAAAGAGAACAGGTAGACTGTCAGGCAAGTGTCTGCCCTCATGGAGTTTTCATTGTGTGTGAAAACAGAATAATTATATAATTAACTCCCTAATTATAGTTGTGCTATGTAATAAATGCTATGAAAGATACAGGGAGCTAAATAGGTAAAACAAAAGATTTAATCAGGTTCAGGAACAAGCAGAAAGCGGCAATGGGAAAATGACACTTAAACTAAGATGTAAAGGCTGAGTAGGAGTTAATTATAAAAAGAGTAAGGGGAGGAGTCTACACAGAAAAGATAGCACATATGAAGGCCCTAAGATAGAAAGAAACAAGATGCGTTTAGGAAAATGAAAGTATTGGTATGAGTAGAGAGAAGACAAAAGGAAAAGAATTAAAAAATTAAAACTGAAGACACAAGCAGAAGAGATAATTTAGGCACTTGTTAAGAATTTTGTATTCTGTTCTAAGAGGAACAGAAACTGGATGAAGTCATCTAGGTACTTAGATGCCAAGAACATGATCCAGTGTCTCTTTAAAGGTTTGGAAGTTAGCATCTAGCTCAGGACACCAAAGAATCAAATTAACGTACTGCTGGTAGTTTCCCCTAAAAACTACAATGTCTGGCTATTCCATAAAATTGGGAAATCTAAAGGAAAATAATAAAGGCCAGAAAATGTCAGTTCCAAATCTACCAAGGTAATCTCAGCATCTTAAACTGAGACTTTGGTATTATTTTTTGGACTTTAAATAATTTGTTTTAATCCTCATTGAGAATGTAAAAGGTGAACACCATATAGTTGACAGGCTCTTAGAATGTTGCACAAAAACAAACAATATACTTATAAACTATACCATAATTCAAATGCACCCAAGTAATTCTTTAAAATTTTGGAGGTTTATGGATTAAATTTTCTTATATAGAAAAAAATATTAGTTATATACATAACCACCCTCTATAATATATATTTTATAATTTTGTTTTATAAATTGATTATTTAAAAGCCCAATCAGCATAAATTGAAACAGTCCCTCTCCTCCCTCACCAACAAAAATAGCCTTTTAGAGTAAAGTAAACTTCTACCTGTAATGGCATTCTCAAAAGTTCTGGGGTCTGAAATTCCAACATATTCTGGAATCGGAGTCTACTGAACAGACGGAAACAAATTCCAGGTCTACATCGCCCTGCCCTTAAAAGTAAAATAGAAAATTAAGACTCATACAAGGAATAAAGACTATACTAAGGAAACTGTATAACCAATGTGATTTAGGAGACAGAACAATGAACCAGTATCAGGACATCTGAGTTTAATTAAATCCTCACTCTTATCCCCTATGATACTTATCCCCTATGAATCCTTTCAGAAATTGCTTCACTTGTGTAGGACTCAGTTGCCTCATTTATAAAGTAAGACTCATGAATAATACCTATCTGATATACCTTCCAGAATAATGGTAAAAATAAAACATTACATATTAAAATGAGTAAAAAATAAAGCATGAATAAATATATGGTAATTTAATCAACTTTACTAAGCTGATACCAAGCACTGTGTTCAGGCCCTCTAATGAGAGTTGTACAAATTATGCATTACACAACTCCAAGGGAGTGTCTTGTACCCCATCATTATAAAGACTTGTATGATTTTCTGGGAATTAACAGAAAAATATCTCGAGGGAAAAGTAGTCTCTTAATTTCACCCAAAGTCGCTAGATCTGCTAATGGCAGGGTTGAATACGAGTGCTAAGTGATAAAGATACAGAAATATCCCTATCCTCACAAAGCTCACAGTCCAGAGTGACAAACATAAATATAACACAGTGTGATACAAGTTACAAAATCTGACATTTTTGACCATTCCTTCATCAAATACTTCCCTCACTTTCCCTAGCCAGCCTTCTCTGAGATTTCTATCTTTGCCCAGTCCTTAAATGCTGATGATCCTGAGGTTTTCCTCAGACTTCTGCTCTCATTACTTTACCCTCTCCCAAAGTGATCTTTGTCTTCCTCCTGACTGTAATTCCATACATCTAGATCTCCTTGTCCTAATACCTATACTACTGAAGTCTCTTTCTTAGCTCCACTTGATTTTCACAGTGAATTCAAACTCACAACCACCAAAAGTTAATTCTCCCCAACATAACCACTCTTCCCATTTTCCCTATAGGACAATGGCACCACCATCCACAAAATTTTCTACGACAGACACCTGTATGGCATCCTTGACTCCACTCTATTCCTTATCTCTCACCCCCTGGGCAGATGATCACCAGTATTATTCTCCTTAATATCTTGAATTAATTACCTTTACTTCTCTTTATTTCTACCACCACTATAACAACCCAGGCTACTCTCATCTCTCCCTTACTGTAAATGGAATTATTAATGAAGAAGCTTCCCACCATTTGTGTCTCCACCAATTCATTCTTCAAAGAGCTGAAAGAATTCTATAATCCCACCATCCCCTGGTTTATTACAGACAGGTGCACGTGCAAGAGAGAGAGCGAGAACACAAAATGGTCTCTAAGGACCTACCTATAACTTAACCTCTTTCCATTCATTTCTTACTATTCTCTTCTAAACTCAACTCCATCCAAACAACTTTCTTGCTCATTATTGCTTTTAGGACTTTGGGTATGCTTTCCCTATGCCAGAGATAACTTTCCACATCTCTTTAGTCGTATTTACCTCAGGTTCTACCTTAACTCCTCTAGAAGTATTATCCAGTTGTAGCACAGTTCACATAGTATTAAAATTGCTCAATTTATTGGACTCCAAGATGGACTGCAACATTCCCCCCACCTCAAACTTTACCCAAAAGACTATAATTTATTCATCATTTCATCCCTAACACTCAAACAGTGAAGGCTATACATAAAATATCTGTTGAAAAAAGTGACAATGATTATTTCCACAATTTCTGATTTTTATCCCTGATAATATATTAGTAACAGCACAGAAATCCAGCTCAATGTGTCAAGCCGCACTTTGTCATAGAGGGAAACTAACACAATAGCCAAAGCAAAGCCCTCAAGGGCATTCTATGAAGTTACAAAGTACAGGAATAACGCAGTCACCATCTTCAGCACGTGACACATTCTTTTAAAATCAGGATTTGATGTTTTCCTGTTAGTTAAAATGCAAGGAAAATTAGTCAAATAACTACTGAAAAATATACTATTAAATCTTGCCTTTTTAAACAGGAAAAATGAAAGCATGTACTAAAATAAATAGTCAAACTACAAAAAAATACAAAATAAGAATTAGGTCTTCCTTCCTTCAAGAGCCCCACAGATCCTCTTTCTCAGAGTCAACAACTGTTTTGTAATGTTTCTCGCAGACTTAATGCATTTGTATCTAAATATATATACAAACACATACATATATATTTTAGCACAAGGGAATACAAGACACATATTCTAGATTTTACTTTTTTCAATTAATGATATATTCCAAAAACTCATTCCACATAAAAACATATACATCTATATCTTTCCTTTTAACAGTTACCAGTATACCACTGTGTAACTATAATTTTTTTTTTTTAAGATTTTTATTGGGGAATTGGGGGATGGGAACAGACAAGTTGCTGTCGTTTTGTTCTTCAGTCTAGTTGTGGAGGACGTTGCTTCACTAGCCCAAGTTGGCACCATCATTGTGCTCTTCCTGGGCGAGACAAATCAGTTGCTGGCTTCTGGACGGCCGCTCACTGCGGCTGCTGGCCGCTCACGCTGGCTGCTGGCTACACACGGTAGCTTATGGCAGCCCACTGCAGCCTACGCCGTTGCCGGCGACTCACGGCAGCCCAGCTCCAGGTTGAGCTGTTGTTCAGCATGTTAGCTGTAGAGGGCAGTGTCACTGGCCCTCATATGTGGGATCCGAACCGGGGCCCTCTGGCATCCCAAGCGAGTTCTTAACCATCGCGCCACTCGGCCGGCCCTAACATAACTTATTTAACTGCTTCGCTATTGATAAACACTACAGTGTTCCCAAACTTGTCACTATTACAAACAATGCTACAAAAAACATTCTTAAACACACATCTTTGCACACATGTGCAAGTATACTCAGGATAAATTATGAGAAGTGGAATCCACTGTCAAAGGATAGATTTGGATAAACAGTTTCAAATTGCCCTCTGAAGAAATCTCATCAATATACACTCCCACTAGCTAACTATGAAAGCCTACACGCTTTTGCCAACTCTGTTGTGTGTACTGTTAAGCATTTTCATCGATGTTAATCTGATAAGCAAAAAACAGTACCTTATTAATTTGCAATTCTTTTAGTATATACAGGGTGGTATATGTGAAGTTAATGTATTGGTCTTCATTAATTGATTTTAAAAAGATTTTTGTAGAATACAAAAATTAGTCCTTTGTCCTGTGTTACAAATATTTAGCATTTTTGCTTGTATTTTTGTGTTTTAATTTTCTTACATCTTCTCAGTATAGATTCTACCAGGCAAAATTTTTCATTTTAATATAACCTGAATTTGATTTTTTTTAAGTATTAAAATAGTGTGCTTTACAAAAATAATATAAAAATTAAGAGTAACATGAAAATTTTAACATTTTATACAAAGTAGAATATATATTGAAGAAATTGAGTGAAATGTACATTAAGTATACATTACCTGCCTTTTCGCTGTATGGCACTAGCTTTGGAAATCCACACCATTTTTAACATTGTAACAAAATTCAGTGCATCAAAGGATTTCTGTAATATTTAAATCATCTTCATGTTAAAATATCAAAGATATTTAAGAAGAAATTTAAAACATTACAAATATATTTTAATATGTAAGTTTAATTTAAAGCCCCTCTTGATTAGATAATTAGAATAGGGTACTAACTTTTTTTTTTAATCCAGGTTTCTGGCTACAAACATGAAAAAGAATGAAAACTAACCTCAGAAGAGCTATAAAACTTCCTCATTCTGTGCCTTGCTGAGCTATTTGTTGCTTTCTGCTATAGCTGGATAATAATAATGGTCAGTACTCATAAGGATCAAGACTGGGAAAAACTGATTTACTCTCATCATATCATTTTCTGTCTGATTTACATCATTGTGGGGAATATAAATGACCTGGGAAAGACAGTTTTCTGAAATACTTTCCAGGGAGCTAGTATGGAGGAATAGCATTACCAGCAATCACTAAACCAATCCTATCCCAAGTGAAACAATTTTAACCCCTTCCATTTTACCTCCTGCTGAGCTACTGATGCAGTTAGCCTATCCAGAATGTTACAGCCCTCTCATACTTCCTCAAAAAATCTGAAGTGAAAATTTACTGTGGAGAAATATTTTAAAATACTGCCTTTCTAAATAAAATATATACATACTTAAATCATTCAGTGACTTACACTTTCCCTTTCAAAAACTAACTATATAGAACAAATACAAATGTGTCCTCATAATAGTTTAATTGTGGAATTTTTAGAAAAGATGTTGCTTATTTAGTTTTTAATAAAATGTTACATTTCTCAACATTGTATGTAAAATAACTTTTGACACTACCATCATGTTCTAAACCATCGTTTACTTGATAAATAACACCTAAAGAAATTAATTTCTAATATATTCAAAATATATTTCATTAGCTTTAGATAATTTTAGGGCAATAAAATCTGAATTTTTATTGGCTCACTATTCAGCCTTTTAGTGATATTACTCATCATAATCTTCCTATAAAAAATAAAATTTTCCCTCCTTTATAGTATCCAACTATAATAAAATGTTCAAGTTTTATAATAAAATTTTATTTTCTATAAACTATTCCTAAAAATTACATTGAAAAATTATAAAATAATTAACAAACTTTTCAAATTAAAAATAATCATTTATATCCACTAGAACAGACATAATTTGCCTCCTACAACATGGATAGTATTTCCTTGAAAAATCGACTACCTCTATTATTGTCAATTCTTCCAGTGAAAGGATCTACCAAAGTTAAGGGTACTGAGAGCTGCCAGGCATTCCAATACTAAAAAGAAATAAATGCTGCCTTTTATTTATATCAGGGGCTGGTACTAAATATTTTAGCCTTTGCAGAGGGCCTCTGCTGCAATTACTCAAATCTGCCACTACAATGCAAAAGCAGCCACAGATAATAGGTAACAGAGTAGACATGGCAGTGTTTCAATGAAATTTATTTTTATAAAAGCAGGTAATGGGCCCATGATTTTATTTTCTTTCTCTCATCATGTTTCTCTTGCACTAAATACCTTTTGAATACCTATTTTATGTGGAGCACTGCAGATACAACAATGAACAAGAAGGACATAGGCCATTCCCACGTGTAGGAGGAAAACATTCAAAATATGTAATCAAATTCCCACACTATTTGGCAAAATTTTCACTGTAACTAGCCAAACCTTTTACTTTCTTCCCAATATTTAGTGAGAAAAAGCTAATTGTTTTTGTAACATTTGTTAAATATAAAAAGATAGAGTCTATATACTGATTTATTTAAGGTAGAACATTCACTTTAGTGTTAAATTTATTTAGAACCAGAAATTTTCCCATTAAAGAGAATTCTATTTATAAAAGCCATTTTTTGAATGGAATTTAACTTTCTTCATTTGAGTTGAACATATAACTTATCCATACATACCTCTTTCACCTTACCAGAATCAATAACAAAGACAACATCATTGACTGTGATACTGGTTTCAGCAATATTGGTGGAAAGGATCTGCAATGGGATGTTATGTTATAGTTAATATGAAAACAGAACCAATGACTAATAAAATGGAAAAAAGAAGATTTTATGAAGCTTACTATTTTTCGAACACCTGCAGGTGGGTTTTTTAATACTTTCTTTTGATCAGATGTTTGCATATTTGAATGAAGCATAAAGACTTGATATCTGTTGACAATTAAAGAATAAAATATACTCTGGTACCTATTTTTTATTTAAAGCAATAAATATAAAGCTTTAGCTTTTACCTATGCGTACTGTCAGCAAATCGCTTGTCATCAAAAAGGATGCGATCCCTCAGTCCAACAATTTCATCATATCCAGGTAAGAAAATTAATATTGCACCTTGGAGAAGAAGAATTTCTTTTAATATTAAATATCAGTGTAAAACCAGAACCAATCAACAGAATTAGCTACAATGAATTATGTCACATGTTTTCAAGTACTGATAAACTGACATATAAAATGACAGTTAAGAGATTATGCATGATTATGAAGGGAATTATATAAAAATTTGTACACACAAAACATTCATTTTTAAATCAAGTATATACATTTTTGTTCCAGGTTTTTTAGACAATACTTATTTACCAGCATCACAACTATGGCAGATATTGTATAGAAGATGCATGATCAAATCCAAGTCTACTTTTTCATCATCAAAACTGTGATGATAAGCTTTCAGGAGCTCTCTGTCTTCTGCACTGAGGTCACTTCCATTTGTATGAACCAGAGAACTTTCATCTAGATTTCCAAATTCCAATGAAGCACTAAAAAACAAACAAAAAAGACCAAGTCAATTTTCATTCAAAAGAGTAACCCTTTAAAGGCCAATGAGTCCCATTATGTCCTTCTTCAAATTTTCAATATACACTAAAGAGGATAAGTGATACTTAATGTTCCAGCTATAATATAATTCATGTTTGGGCTTCAAGTACATTATTTAAAAATGTAGCCATAAGTGGACATTTCTCCAAAGAAAATATGCAAATGGCAAATAAGTACATGAAAAGATGTTCAACATTATTAGTCATCAGAAATGAAAATCAAAACCACAACGAGATACCACTTTACACCCACTAGGATGACTGTAAGTGTTACAGAGGGTGTGAAGAAATTGGAACCCTCATACATTGCTAGTGAGAATGTAAAATATAGTACAGCCACTTTTGAAAACAACGTGACAGTTCCTCAAAATGTTAAACGTAGTTTTACGATATGCCCCATCAATTCACCTCTTAGGGATAAATGCAAAACAAATAAAAATATTTGTCCACATAAAAATTTGTATACAAATGTTCATACCAGTATTACTTGTAACAGTCAAAAAGAGGAAACAACCAAAATGTTCAGCAATTGATGAATGGATAAACAAACTGCAGTCTATCCATGGAACAGAATGTTAATCAGAAATGCTACAACATGGATGAACATTGAAAACATTATGCTAGTGAAAGAAGCCAATAACAAAAGACACATATTATATGATTCCAATTATATGAAAGGTCCAGAATAGACAAATCTATAGAAACAGGAATTAAGTTAGTGGTTGCCTAAAGCTGGAAGAGTGGGGGGAAATGAGTGGCTGCTAATGAGTATGGATTTCCTCTTGGGGTCATGAATATGTTCTCAAAATTGATTGTGGTGATGATTGCATAACACTATGAACCTACTAAACAACACTGAATTGTACACTGAAACAGGTAAATTCTATGGTATGTGAATTTTATCTCAATAAAAATTTAAAAAATACGAACTTTGGGTCATCATTTATATTTTCTTAGTAGATTGTTTCTTCATTGTTCACTATTATAAATAATACTCTGAAGAAAAGTCCACATTAAAAAAAAATTGTATAGGTACCGACTTAACATGACTCTTAATTTGGTAATTCTATACTAAAAGCAGGTTAATTATGCTATTTTCCAAAAGCCAGAATCAACATAAAATACTGAACTAAATGCCTTGCTTCTTCATTCTGTATGTAAAAATATAAACTATTGCCATCACTAGTAATTATCAATTAGATTTCTACGCAGTTCAGTTTAGCATCATCTCTCTTAAAAAGTTTAGTAGAAAAATAAACATAAGACTGCTTTCAATAGGGAAAATGTTAAATTAAGCAACTTTATAATTGCAACATTTAAAATTTAAGATCCATTTTAAAACACTTTTTTTTCCTTACTTTTCAACAGGTAAACAAAGAGGCTATTATGTTCTTTGTTCTAAGCTATAACTAGAGATATTAATTATCAACTATCCAGCAAATATAAATTTAATTTTAAATATTTGAAATTTATAGTTGATATGTCATGATCTGTAAAACAGAAAGCCCAGTTAGCCAGGATAATTAATTAAAATGTTACCCAGGTAATTGCTTTATTTGGTAATCTGTAGTGTCTAGTGAGCTACACCTAACACCTTAAAAATGTCTAGAACATTCAATGTGTGAGTGCTAAAATAACTGCAAGTTCTGCGTGATATTATTGAAATGGCAGCGAAACCCACTATACCAGAATTAGCATTTGAATCTGTCAAATAACTTTGTTAGTTTACACATTTTGTATTCCTTCCTTACCATTTTATTGAGGTTTGGGGGAAATGCAGAGATAAATACATGTGTTTGTATCTACCATGTTTAACTGGAAATTCTCCTTCTGCTTTCTCAAAATAAAATAAAAAATAACACAAACATTATAATACAGTAGATCTTATTAGCAACCTACAAAAAAAATCAGAAAAATTACTTAGAATTACAAAAAGAAAAATCTCTAGATAAGAGACTATAAATAGTCTACATTTGTCATATTCTATGATTTACATGGCTAAGCTTTTTTTTAAAAAAGGGCTTAGGATTAATTAAACATAGTATAAAGTTTTACCTGTAAGACTCTAAAAGATCCACAATTTCAGTCTGCCCAAAGTGCTTAGCCCAATCTAAAGCCATCCTGCCAAAATTCAAAATAGCAAATTAAGACAGAGAAATAATGTTCTCAAAATTATAAAACTAGTAGTCATTCAAAATTATCCATTCACCCACTAGAGATACACCAGCAATTATTGCATAATAAATAGCTTTTAATATAAAGACAAATATAAGAAATCAAAAAAGATATGTATAGCTATACAAAAATATATAAAGATTGAATGCAGTTTAAAATTTACCAGCCATTGGATGCTTTGCTATGGACATCGGCTCCCATACTAATTAGCTGCTCTACTTGACTTGAAAAACCTCGTCCTGCAGCAACCATCAAAGCTGTTGCACTGGTTTCACTATGTCTATAGTCGACTAAAATAAGGAAAAGATAAATACATGTTATATTTCCAAGTTATTGTAAATTATTTTAATTTTTTTATATTTAAATGAGAGAATTGAGTATCAGAAGAATTAACCTGGGACTTACTCCTTCACCTAACTACATGGTAACAGCATTACATAACCCTTAACTCATATCACAAAGGAGATCTGTTACTGATATGCCCTTAATATAAACAGGATAGAATAGGGAGTTTCAGTCGGGAAGCTGGAAAAGAAAAGATAGTTGTTAAACTGTCTTAAGCTCACCAAGATAATTAAAACAGCAAAGGAAAACTACTAACTTGCAGAACCCTTAATCTTCCTAAATCTAGATATTGCCTTGATCATCACATGACATGATATAATTTAAAAGAATTAAAAAGCTAATTCTCATCAGCAGGTGGTAATGAATGCTTAAAGGTGCAAACAGAAAGTTTAAGACCATTTTTTGTTGTTCTTTTGTTTAGCTTTTATTCCCACATCATTCCATGATATTATTCTCTAAGATTCTTAATGGGAATAACACTGGCAGAAAGTTTACTTTTCATAAAATCCCTCCATGAGAAAAATAATTAAAGTTCTATTGAATTTAAATTCCTTCCTAGAATATATTTCTCAAGCAATGCATTATAATTGCTTAGCAGTAACTTGTTTAAATTACAAAATGGGTAATTTCTGAAAGAGATCACCACTGAAAAAAACCTCTGTAGTAAAATTTAAGATCATTACAAAAGGAAAATTTTAATTTTCCATATATACCAAATTATCCTCATCACTTAATAACACTCTAAAACATGGTATCCATTACTAATATAAATCAATGGTTCTTAAGGTAGGGAAGGAGGCTTTATAAGAGACTTACCTAGGCATTGTATTTCTGAAAACACAGACAGCTACGCCTTACTCCTAGATTCGAATTCAGTAGGTCTGGGATGACCAGGCATATGAATTTTTGAAGAGATTTACAAAGATTATGATCTGTAGTCACTATATGAAAATTACTGTTTTAATTAAATATTCAATTAATGGCCTTAGAGGATAGAAGCAAAATATGTGTATTTTGAGCAGAGGGGTATGAATAAGTGTGGGTGTTTTAAAACATCCAAAAATGTTTTCATCCTTCTCCCTTCAAGAAGTGGGCCTAATTCACTTCTTCTTGAGCAAGAGCTGCACTAAGTGACCCACTCTAATGAACAGAATAAAGTAGAAGTGATGGGGTGCAATTTTGGAGACTAGATCATAAAAGGTACCTACAGCTTTCTGCTTGCTTTTTCTCCTTCTCTTTTGAATCATTTAGGCTGGGAAAAGCCAGCTGCTACATCCTGGGAAGAATAAGGCAGCCCTATGGAGAGGTGCAGGTTGCAAGAAAATGAGGCCTTCTGTCAATAGCAGGGATGAGCTGAGGCCTCTTGCCAGCAGCCATGTGAGTGAGCCTTCTTGGAAGCAGATCCTACAGCTCCAGTAAACCTTCAGATGGCTACAGCCCCTGACAACAGCTACCACATGAGTGAGCAGGAGCCAGAATCACTCCCAGATTCTTGACTCTCAGAAACCCTGTTAGATAATAAATGTTTTAAGTTATTAAGTTTGGGAACCATTGGTTATGCAGCAATAGATGACTAGGAGAGTGAGCATGACAAAGAATGCCCAGTCTTACTAAACTAGCTAATTACTAGCTGCTTCCACAGGATCATACAGGGAAAATGATGGCATTAAAAAGAAACCTATGAAGCCCAAGGTTTCCTGGATCACAGGAAGTAATTGGCAGCTCTAAAGCCAATTAAGAGTTGAGATTTTAGAAGAGAAATAAAGAGATGGAAAGTGAATAACTGTTCATAGAGCTACGATAACATTTTAGTTTATTTCACAAGGCTTAAGACATTAGAATGTTGGGCTCTGGAAAATGTCCAATAAAACTATAAAGAAGAGGGACATGGGTCCACAGGATGACCATCATCAAAGTAACAGTCTAGTATTCACTAAAGGAATATCTAGGAAGAGGGTCAAAGATAATATATAAATACTTAAAAGTGCTTTATAAACATTTTATAGCAACCTGTCTCAGAGTTCAAATTTCCTAACTTTCAGGTAATATTTTTAAATTGTTCGGAGTAAATATTTTTTTAAATAACAGGAAAAAAAAAGATTGCCAGAAAACTAGAGATGAACAAATGTCCATATTTCCAAATACAAAAAATTACTTTTCAAAATACAGATTATTTTTTTAAATCAATGACAAGCTGAAGAAAAAATAGATCAGTAGAAGCCAAAATACATTTACAAACAACAAGAAATGCCAAAAGATCTTCATTTCTTTCTTAAGAGGTTTGTTAGATTAATGGATGTGTGGAATTATAACCACTTGAACAACCACACACACATGTTGACCTAAAAGCCTTTTGTAGCACATACACAGTGCTTGGTCACTGACCCAGGCCCCTCAAGTTAATAAACTGAGAAAGTTTATTAATATACTAGGTAAAATTAGAACTAAAAAAAAAGTGGTTAAGCAGAGACAATAGGCCAAATCTAACTATAAGGTAAGATTTAAAAGGAATAAATAGAATGTCTTAAGCTCAAAAAATTCAAAACAAGTAAATGATGGAGGGGGGATTAATCACATGTAAAAAACAAACAAACAAACAAAACACTAGAAGTTTCAAAGACAATACGAATCAGTAAGACAACGTGGTTGGCAGTTACACAGACCAAAGTCGAATTAATATAAGTAAAGAGTAGAGGTTTTTAGGCTGATAAACCTACTCTACCCAAAGTTGGTCACTAAGAGATTAACACTCAGGACTGAACATCATGCTTTTTAAAAGGGACAAAATAGAACATAACCAGAGAAGGTGGACAAGGACAGGACTAGATATCATGTTATGTTAAAGCGGAGTAGCTGAAGTCACAGGAATGGGCAGCCCAGAAAACAAAACAAAAAAGAGAAAGAATAACTATCTTCATATACCTGAAGGTCTGTCAGGCATAAAAAAATACTAAATCTCCTCATTATCTCTACAGAAGGAGAAAAGGATAGAAGCTATATAGGTAGATTTCACTTCAAAACATATATTTTTTTAAAAATGTCCTCAAGAAAGGTAGTGAGCTTCCTATCACTAAACATATTCAAATAGATTATCATTTGGTAGGATACTTAAAAGTTTTATCATTATTCAACAAATATTTACTGAGTGCTTATTCAACAGTAATTTTCATTTGCAGTTGTGAATCCATATATATGTGTGGCCAACTATATACATTGTTCTGCGCCATTTTATATGAGGGACTTAAGTATCAGCAGATTTTGGTATCCAAGGGGGTCCTGGAACCAACCCCCAAAAAATACGAAAGAACTGTAGTTAGGTTTTGGGGGAATCAGAAGTTATACGAGAATTTTCAACTGAGTAGGGGGTCTGCACTCCTAACTCTGCATTGTTTAAGGGTCAACTGTACACTAAAGTATAATAAAAAAGGTTAAGGAGAAATAGTAACAAAAGGGTTCAATTTTAGTAAAATGATCAAAAAAGACCTCTCTGTGAAGGCAATATCTAAGTAAGAGACCTAAATGAAATAGACATTGGGCCATGTGAGTATCTGTAGGGACAGCATTCCGTGAGTATCTATTAGAGAGAGCATTCCAGGCATAGGAACAACAAAACGAAGGCCCAAAGATGGCAATGTGCTAGAACATATGAAGAACAGCAAGAAGGTAAAGGTGGCTAAGCACAGTGAACAAGGAAAAAGGGTAGAAAATGAGATCAAAGGGCAGTTAGAGACTAAATCAGAGAAAGGACTTTTTTATTCAATAAAAATACTTTTGCACATAATTGTCATATATTCACAGACCCCACAAAACTATTCTGGATATAACTAGGTTAAGAATCCCTGATTTAACAACATTTATTTATTATACTACGCTAATAAGAAGATCCTACTTGTGCATTTGAAATAAGTACTCCAAAAGAACGTATTATTATTTGTGAATAAAGAATGTAACACATACAATTTGAATTAAACTAAATTGCCACCATAAATAACTGTAAGAGTAATAAAAAAATTGTAAATAAGTTACACTTACCACTAACATTTTCAGTTAGAATAAGGTGAAAAACCTGAGCAAAGGCATCAACATCTTTATGTAGCCATATGTCAGAAAGACAAGCATCCATTTCCTTTATTAACCATGGTTCAAGGCAATTCACATCTTTTTCTGTCTTTAAAAAAAAACAAAGATTATAAATTACCTAACAGCTTAACCTTTGCTTGCAAAGAACATGAGATGGCCACAATGGTCACAAGAACTACTAACCACATGATATTATAGCGTAGGCTTTGACATAAAAGTTTCTCATCTCATCATAAACATCACTCACAATAAAAGGTGTGATTGAAATATACGGTGAATGTTTCAATAAAAAAAATTATTACAGTAAAAGACACATTGCCATTAATGCCCCTCAAACTACTCCCCCTCGCTTCGACTTATCCCATCATTCTTACCACTTTCTGAAGCAGTTCTGGAAGTCCTCTTTCATGAGTGTCTTTAGTTGCACTGTCATGGCTGCCTCAATGTCCTGAATCGATTCAAAACGTTTTCCTTTCATGGTCATTTTGACTTTGGGGAAGAGCCAGAGGTCTCACGGTACCAGATCCAGTGAATACGGTGGATGAGGATACACCACTTTTTTTTTTTTTTAAGCTGAGCCATCCTGCCACCTTTTGGCAGCTCAGCAGCTGCTCAGCTCGGGCCAGGAATCGAACCACTGTTGCTCAGAGCTCAAACTCTTGAGCGAGCTCTTAACCAACTGAGCCACTCGGCCGGCCCACCATTTTTTATTTGACAGAAATTGCCATACCAGAAGTGAAGTGACATGGAGCATTGTCATGATAGAGCATTAAGACATTCATGAAAGAGGACTTCCAGAACTGCTTCAGAAAGTGGCAAGAATGGTGGGATAAGTGTGTTTGAAGTGAAGGTGAATATTTTGAGGGGCTTAATGGCAATGTGTGTTTTACTGTAATAATTTTTTTTATTTAAACATTCACCATATCTTTTATCACACCTCGTATCTTATTCTTATATTCATCGTTTTATCTAAGAACGAGAATGTTCGTCAACAAAGGAGTGTGATCCAGTCAAAATATTAACTAAGTATGCTTCTGACAGGATGTTGTCCAATGTACACCAGTGATTCTCTCTCCCAACTGCACATCAGAGGAACCATGACCTGGAGCTTTTCAACACTGAAGCCAGGTCCCATCCCAGAGCTGAACATCAGAATCTCTGGTGATGGAGGCCAGATTCCATATGGCTTTAACAGTTCCTTAGGTAATGCTAATGTGCAGGCAGGCTTAAGAACAACTAACTTAATAATCAAAATGCTGTTCCTTGAACCAAATGGATGTTCCCTATACTAAATAATTTTAAACATTCTTTAAAAATATTTTTATAAAATTATGTATAGTTCATTTGGATACATTAGAACTATAAACACTGGTAGAAAACTGCAAGCATATCTGCATTATGTAAGTTCTCATGCTCAAAACAGTTAAACTGCTTTTCTAAAAAGTGCATAGTCCCACCCATATTCTTCATCATACTAATCACCAATGCCTTTAAAAGAATTCCAAACCGAATAAAAAACAAGCAGCATCCTAGGAAATCAGCTAGTTCCTGTTTTCAAACAGACTCCACAAAACCCTAGGTAGCAGAGGCCCCACCTGAGGATGGAGGTGGAGAGTGATGGATGAGCCAGCAGGACTTCTAGGAAATATTTCATTTGTAAAGATTTTGTGACAAAATTGAAAAAAATGAAAAAAGAGAAGCAGCAGCTGATTTGGTCTATAGTGGGTAATTGATTTTATAAAGTCACATAGCTGGTTGGCTGTGGAAACACCAGTATTGATTATTTTCTCTAATACCAACAGTCTTTTCTCAATTTTCTCCTAATTTAGCTGATCTTACATTGTTTAGCTTATAGGCTCTTAAACATTTTAGCTCATAAGCTCTTAAACTTTTGAGATGATAAAATATCAAGCAATAACGTATAAGCATAATATCCGTGATTATTTTCTTCAAAAAATTTGGAGAAAATGTTGAAATAACTTAAAAGTTACAATGAAACAATAAAAGATGTTACATCATCTGCAAAAATAATGTTAGAAAGTATGTTAGAAAATTGTTCTGAAAAGTGTGCTGTAGCCTAAAATAAACTAAAAGAGTTATACTTTAATAATGCAGTAAAATGTCATATCATAAGATGTTCTTTAAACTACAATTTTCACTCAAAATATCAGTGTAAAACCAGTGAGACCTTACCAACTGACTAAAGACAGCATCACCGCCATCATCCAATAAATCATACTCTTCAGTCACATTTGGAACAGTTCTCTGCCTCTGAGATTCAGGCTTGAAAGTATTCTCTTGAGCTGAATACCATTCTGTAAGTGTGGTTTGTTGTTTCTCCTCTAAATTAATTACCAAAGAAAATAAGTAGATAAATTATTTGCTTTTTAAAATATATGTTTTAAAAACTTAAGTGAATCTGAAAATACCTAAAAATTGGTCTTATTTTGAATTACTTTTTAAAAATATATTAATTAGGAACATTCAAAAATATGTTATGCTAAACCATAATGACACATGAAACTGCTTAAAAACCTCATTTATTCATCTATTAGTAAAAAATTTACTTCTAAGTCCATAATTTAAACAACAGTGTTTTAGCCATACAATAAATAATGTTTAAATCAATGAGTAATGTTCACATAGCGCTTTGTAGAAAATCATTTATTGAACTCCTGCCACCATACTAGTTGTTTGAGATATAACAAGTTATATACAATTTTCATCTTCAAAAGTTTCAAGATCTAGGAGTTTTACAATTTACATATTAGTGATTCAACACTGCACAGTGAAATAGACATTGCTAATTGCTTTTTTTTTTCAAGTGGAGATTCCAAAGTTAAGGTATTTGTCCAAGGTCATACAGACAAAACAAAGGAATCAAAACCTGAAGCCAAATCTGTCATCATGAATAATGCAGTTAAAAGCAACAATATGAACCTAACCCTAATTCAAAATCTGAGACACAGTATAAGTCATGATAAGAGATGTATTCATAGGCAAATAACACTAAGCTCAAAGCACAGAAGCAATTCATACTATCAAAATTTGAAAACCTTGCCATTTGTATCAAAGATGAGCACATTGCTCACATGCTGCATTTTCACTCCCTCCCACTGGCTCCCCACTCTTGTCCAATTATATATGCTGTGGTTATCAAATGTGTGGCAGCATGTACTCTTCTCTCCATTAAAACAGTGGTTGAATCTTTGAATATAGACATACACAACCTCCTCAATTCAAACATCCACTTTCAATTCCTCACTCTAGGCTATTACTTCTGGACATAAACCAAAATGCATAAGGTACATTTGGGACAGTATTCTAATATTATACAGTTATACACAAGAGAGAAATACTTTCAAGTGTCCTTGTATCTCCATAGGGTAACACTGGAGTACTCTGAAAATTTAATAGGAATAGTAATTTTCTTTCATATTTGTTTGATAAAAAGCTTACCTCGCTGTTTTTCCTTTTTGTATTTTAACATTTCTTTGTTTGTGTATCCAGTGGTTCTTAAAATGTCTTCTAGAAACATTTCTTTTACTTCAAATGGTCTTCCCTGTACTAAATAATAGAAATTTTTTAAGTAGCTAATTTGCATGTTAGAGATAATTCACATAAAACATGAGAATCCCAAGTTAATGAACATGAGTATAAAATTCAAAAGCGGTTCAATACGTCAAGTGATCTTCATGATTTTGTCTTTTAAATATAACTTTGATCTTTATTTTAGAAAACTGTTCATTTGCTTTCCCCCCCCCCCAGCGTTTACTATCTACTTATCATGTGTTTGGCATCATGATGGGCACCAGGAATATAAATAGTAAGCAGAAACAGAGCTACCTCTGACTTCTTGAAGCTATAAGCTAGCAGAGGAGACAGACATTAATCCAAAAATCCAGAATATAAATGTAAAAATAGGTTGAGAAAAGTCCTTTGAAAGAGAAAGACAAGATACCAAGACAGTATATAACGGGCTGGGGGGCGAAGGGGAAAGGGGTGGAATGACTGAGTCAAGAAAAGCATCCTCACGAGAAAATGAGGACCAAGGGAAGAGGTACACAAAATAACTAAGCTATATGGAAAGGAAAAAATGTACCATGAAGAAAAAACAGCACATGCAAAAATGCTATAGTGGAAAAGAGTACAATGTTTTCAAGAAACTAAAAGACCAAGCTACTAGTTCCAACCTAGTTGGAACACAGTAGAAGAGAGGGAGTAAAGACTAGATTGTAGTTCAAGATAAGGCAGAAGAAATAGATAAGTCTTAACAAAACTAGTTAGGTCTTTATCCTGAGGTAAAAGTCATTCAAAATTTTAAGCTCAGGAGAATGTTCAACATCATTTTAAGCTCAGGAGAACGTTCAACATCATCGGTACTCTACTTCAGAAAAGACTGTTCTGACTGCACTGTGCTCAATGGATTTTTAAAAGAGTAGTATGGATGGAACAGACCAGGAAGGAGCGAATCCAATGGTTTAGGTAAAGAGAACAATAACTTGAATGAGATTGGTGATAGTAAAAATAGAAAAGAGACAGACTCTACACAGTCAGGAAGTAAAATCCACAGAACTCAGCATTAGGTTGGATATGCAGGAATGATAAAGAAGGAACAATCACAGTTCTTGGATGTCTGGCTTACAAAACTGGATAGATGATGATGTCATACCCCGAGGTAACAAAGAAAGCTGAAATAGGAACAGGCTAGCTAGTGGGAGGTGGGGTTTGGTTTTAGACATGTCAAATGTGAGGTACCAAAATAAGCTTTCAATTAGCAAATGTATAAATTTCGTGTGCCTTATCATCCAAGAATATTATGAGAAGAAAGACTTACAGGTTTGTGACTTAGGTGACTAGGTCAATGGTATAATTAATCAAAACAGGCAATACAAGAGAAGTAGATTCTATAGAAACATTAAGTATGCAGTTTGGGGTACATCAGAAGTGAGCTGCTTATAAGATATCTAAGTCCAAAGCTCTGGAGAACAGTCTGAATTGGAAATAAAGATTCAGGTGTCATCAGTATAAAAGAGAAAGCAGAAGAAGGCAAAGACGAGCATGAATGAGAACTTCCAAGGAAACTAACTGTGTATCTCCAGTTACCTAGTAGAGTGAGCACAGAGCAGGAAAGGAGGAAAACAAAGAAAAAGAAAGGAAGGGAAGGTGAGTAAGGAAATTTTTAAAAAATGGATCAAGGAAATAATCCTAGAAAACATGAATATTTAAGCACCATGCAAAAAGAGAGAAGCCCCAGAGGAAACCACAAAAATGTAGAATGAGACTCGGAAGACAATGCTGTCAAATCAATTGTGGGATCTGAGCATTTCACAAAAAGGGGGTGGTCAACCATGAAAAATACTACAGAAAATTTAAGTAAGATTTTTGTATAAAATTTGACCATAGGCTTGGCAATTAAATTAGTGTCAAAACAATACTGGTAAGAATACACAAATCAACAGCCCTATACACTGCAGAAATGTGAATCATTTAAGATTTTGGAAAAAGTAAAAGGCAAAATCTGTTAAAATTTAAAATAGATACACTGTGGGCCAGCCAAGCGGCTCAGCTGGTTAAGAGTTAGCTTAAGAATGCAAGCTCTGAGCATCAGGGCCGCCAGTTCGATTCCCACATGGGCCAGTGACACTGCACCCGAACTGAGCTGCCACTGAGCTGCCAATAGGTGGCAGGATGGTTCAGCTTGTGAGAGCACGTGCTCCTAACAACAAGGCTGCCTGTTCAATGGTGGGCTACACCAACACACAATTAAGACTGAACTCGGCACCTTGAACTGAGCTGCCAACTGGATGGCTCAGTGGATACAGCATGTGCTCTTTACAAGGCTGCCGGTTCGACTCCCGCATGGGATGGTGGCTATGCCCACCTACAACTAAGATTGTTAATACAGCACCTTGAGCTTAGAGGCCACTAGCTGCCGACGGACAGCCAGATGGCGACTAGCATCCTCCACAACTAAGAATGAAGAACAACTTGGCTGGTCCCCCTCCCCCAATTCCCCAATTAAAAAAATAATAAAATAAGATACACTGTTTTACTTAACAAGTTCACTTTCAAGAACCTACCCATAGAAATAAGAGCATCAGTATATAAGGATATACATACAAGGATGTTCATTACAACACTGTTTTATGGTGGGGGGAAGGGAAGAACTAGAACCAATCTGAATATCCAAAAATAAAGCAATGGTTAAATAAATCATTATACATTCTTATTATGAAATATTAAAACAGCTGCTTAAAATAATGAGCTATATCTGGAACTACTGAACTTGCAGACTGTTCACGATACACTGTCAAATGAATAAGGCAAACTACAAAATAGTGTATGTGCTCATTTTTGTAAAATCAATTTCTGTAAACTTGATATTTGCATACCTTGATGAACATGGACAAGGTAAAAAATAATATACACTAGGCTTTAACATCAATTAATCTCAGGAAAGTAAGACATGAAATAACAAGAGGATGGGGCAACCGTGAACTTTTTTCCTACCTATGTTTTTATTATATTATTGAGGTAAACACACACAACTTTTTCCATTTTTGAAAATTAATAATTTTTTGGACAAGAACAGGGACAAAAGTTAAGTGGCAGCATATTCAGAAGTACATGGGATGTAAGCATGGAAATGTAGACTACTCTTTCAAGGACTCTAGCAATAAAGTGGAAGCTATAGGACAGAATTTAAAAGGGACTACAGGGCTAAAATAAAGATATTTCCTTTTAAGACTAGAGAATTGGCCTCACAACACAATAGCAAAGAACTGTAAATGGAAAAGGATGAAAATATACAGATGACTAATTAAGCATATCTCAGAGGAAACAGAATGGATGCTCTCTACTGCAGAATATTCCTCAATTCTGACTACAATAAATATAATCAAGCCAAAAAGTATTCTTTCATAAAAATTCTTTTTTTTTTTTTTTTTAAGCTGAGCCATCCTGCTACCTGTTGGCAGCTCAGC